GGAGGCTAGTCACTAGAAAGAGGAAGCCAGGCATTGCTAAGTGATGTCATTACCCGGAGCCCACAGCCACCGTTTCCGGGCTGGGCTGACTGTGGGCTGCATTTTCTGCTATGGGGTCTCAGCATCATCAGCTGCAATTTGGTGGGTTGTTGCTCCGGGGTGGTGGCGGGGCCTGTGTCCCACTTGGCGAAAGCTGAGTGTTGCTTTGTGGTTGTCAGGTCCATGGTGCTGTTTCTCTGTAAATGGCCAGTGTGCATCATGGCTGCTCCTGCATTGAGCGTCTGCCCCCTGGCGGTCAGTGTTTGTCATAGCTACCTGTCAACAGACAATTAGCATATTACCCTTTTATATATATAGATAATTGAGAGAATCAATCTCTACTTCCTTCTGCATACAACTGCTGGGTAAGAGATGATGGCAAAGAATTGACCCTGTTAATGGTCTCCCAAACTCTCTGCCTTTACTTTATGTTCCTCAAACAATAAATGATCAAATGATTTGAGTTCTTCTATGAAATAAAATGTGAAGAACTTTTGCTTTCCAATAATATTTGAAATAGAAATGGTGAGAAGGGGGGGGCATTGTGAGAGTGACTTGAAATAAAAAGAGAGAGAGAGAGAGAGACCTGAGCAACATGCCCTGTGTGTGTGAGAGAGAGAGAGAGATGGGGGGGGGGGGGTAAGGAATACTGCCACAATAAAGATAGGAGAGGGAAATCCTGTTGTCAGGAATAGCCATAAGACATTCAACAATATAAATGCCTTACAGTAAGTGTCACCCTCCCGGCTTTATTAGGTGTTGACATAATCCTTCACTCCATTATGCCAACATTTAGAAAACTTGTGTTTTTTGACTGCATGAGCAACAACATTCTGGGAGGGAAAGCTTCTAAGTCTGGGTCATCAGGGCAGAGCAGAGACCAGTACCAGTAGGCAAGTAATGAGTTAGGTTGAGAAAATAATGAGGGAAAGATATTAGAACAAGAGCTAATGAATCGATGAGGGGAGTAAGATTAAAAAAAAACACTCATGGACACAGACAACAATATGGTGATTACCACAGGGAATGCTGGGGACGGGGAGAGGCAGGTGGAAGAGACTAAACGGGGGATAAATGGTGATGAAAGGAGACTAAATTTTGGACGGTGAATGCACAATGCAATGGGAAGATGATGTATTACAGAATTGTACATTGGAAACCTATATAATTTTATTGACCAATGTAACCCCAATAAATTCCATACAAATGAGCTCATGAAAATAATTGTAAATAGAGCTTGGCACTATAAGCAGAGACTCCTTACCCCAAATCAGGTAATCTTTGCCCCCTCTGTAGCCTCAGTGGGCTCCATTCTCATTTGGAATTTAACCTTGCCTGTCCAAGATGGAAAGAGAAATCTGAGAGGTCAGTGCAGCAGTTCTGCCTCAGCGCTCAGACTGTGAATTCCTGCCTTGATCTCTCACACTTCTCGTGGCATTCTAGCCCCTCCTTTCACTATAACATCAACATAATCTCCTTATATTCATCTTGCCTGAGATTCATTTATTATTTACAGTTGTAGGAATTTTTTGTGATTTTTATCATTCACAACATTATGTTCATATATCCTGCTGACTCAAAAGATTTGCAGTGAAAAGAAACAATCAATCCCCAGCCAACTCCCAAACACAAGATCAATGTTATTTATGGCTCATACGTTGAAATTGTTTCTGAAGTCACTTGTATTTCATCTGTATGTCTCATTTTCTCTCTCTTTTCATTTCTTGCCATGTTTATGCTGATGAAACAAAATTGTTTGTCTCCCCAAATGCATATTGCTGGTTACTTTCTGATGGTTTAACATGTTTCTTTACCCCTGTACTTCCCACATGCTGGTAGTTATAGCTATAGATTGGATGAGAAACACTAACAGTTTTATATTTCAAAGTGGCTTCTGAGTTGGTGCAAAATATTTCTACCAGAGGCACATAAGCATTGGCAATATAGCTTTTTGTGCATTTACTAGTAGCCACAGAACCAATTCTTAGATGTATTATTTTATTAGGGGTTGTAAACTGTTGGTATTCTAACTCCATCATTCCTGTATCATTTATTAGTTGGAATATACATAAGAATTAAAACACTGCCTAAAGATATCTGGATTAGAAGTTGGCAAGAATGTGGAATTGGAATTGCTTTAAGGTCAGTCTCTTGCTGAGTCTGCAAGTATAAAGTGTAAGGGACATACTGAAGATCAGGCATAGAGGTCTGGGGGAGTGAAGTAGCTGTGGTTCCAGGCTGAGTCCTTTTTCTGATGGAGGCGTGTTAGCAGTTCAGTGGTCACAGTACTCATGCAGAATGAAGACCCACCAGACCATGAGATAATAGGATTGCTGCTATAATATTTGGTAGATCCATGGAAAGGTGTGGGTTATGCTCTATCAAAACTCATGGGTTCACCATCTTAATGTGTACAGAACTTTCTTCTGGTCACATCGATTACTTCCTTTTTCTATGTATTTCCTCTTCATTACACTTAAAGCAACTTTAACTGTGAAAACCACACCTTGGTTAGGAACTCGGGTTTTATTTTATATTCATTATGAAGCTTTAGACAGGGTTAAGCAGCTAAAACACCTCATTCTATTGGGATTGGTGATCTGCAATGGACCCTGAGTGCCCCTAGGTCTTCCTGATGGGTATGTCAGAAATGCAAAGCCCTTACTACTCATTACTATTTCTCAAGATTGTTTCAGCAGAGGGGAACCATGGAAATGAGGTAATATCCTATAGACAAGGAATGGACATGGATTTGCTTACCACAAGAGTGGCAAGTTACCCTAACTCACCGTCCTCTCCTATAATGCAGCCCACTGTGTGCGCTGCCACTCACCCAGACCCACCTGCATCACACTTGTAAGTGGTAGGGCATGAGGAACTGATGTGCATATGAACTGTGGCTACTGCTTTGCTCTAACTAATAATATCCCCTTTGTTACTGAACTAGAAGTTATGTGTCTTCTGCTACCAATCCTCAAATAGCAAGTAGTCAAACCTTACTGGTTTTTAAGTTGGGTAAAGTCCCAGACCCTTCAGTGTTCTTGAAAATTACATCCAACCTATTGGCAAAATATTTTTGAATTATAGCTTTCTATGCTGGTGGAGATGCAGAGAAAAGGGCACTCTGGTACCATGCTACAGCCTTCTGGGAAGCAATTTGACAATAATATACATTGGTGTACACTTATTGGCACATATTTGATTTTATACATCAAATATGTGCGGACTTACATGTCAAGCATACCTCAAAATTATGGTATAAAAGGGATAGCCAATATACAATATATACAAACATTTTAGTGTGAAATCTCATTTCTGGGAATCTATCCTATAAATATGAGGTTCCATAAGGGTATATATACAACAGTGTTCATTAAAGCACTCATCCCAATTAATACTGAGAACCATCAAGAGGATAATCCTTCAAGCTCAAGAAGAGAGCAGTTAGATCTCCATCTATTGATCT